ACATATTAATATCTAAAATTACCAAATTAATTAAATTTACTCATTAGTTAAGTATTTCATAATACAGTATTATATACACATTATGAAATTATAAATTAATCAGTAACATACAATTTAAGGTACTATCACACAACAATCTCTCCCTCTATGAAAATAAAATAAAGTGAAAACTATTTTATACGACAATTATATTTATATCAAATACAAGAATTTTATGTGAATTTATGTCTTTTCGTAATACTTTTATATCATTAAGTTTTTAATTACTTATATAAAAATGTACATTTTTTGCACTCAGCTCTGACATCTGTATACATATTACAGTATATTATCAGGAAATTATTTTGCATTCAAACATTTAATTTGGCATTTGATGTATAAATAGAAAACTCTTTTTAATTATTTTTCGTAAATAAGAAAAATAAGTATTGAATTGTATTTTAGGTCACATTTTAGGAAATTAAAAAACATTTAACTATTTCATGCAATATAACCCAATAATGCAATGCTAATAAGAGTTAATAATTTTATAAGAATTGGATATTAATTATTTGAAAGTGATCATGATTTAATTTTACATTGAATCACATATTAAATATAGCCATATTTGTAATTAAGTATAGCTAATATAAAATAGACTGCACTTGTTATCGCATATTTACTAAATGCTAATAATCTGCTGCCATAGCAAACACTATGTTACTAATCAGTATAGAAATTATTTTTGTAACTTTTGATTACAAATATATGAGTTTGAAATGCAGATTAAGTCCAAATAGTTTGCTCATTACTGGTGCTCAATGTCTGCAACATATTTATGACTGACTATTAGTTTGCAACCTTTATATTTACATTTTATTTCATAAAACACCCATTTACTTTTGTGAAACAACGGTTTTAATTCAATGTTCATTAAATAATTACTTATATTTAAAAAATATTTCAATTAAACTAAATATATTTGTGATTACATTAAAGTCACTAAATATAATGTATGTATAAAAAAGTGAATCTGATAGCTATTATGCCTTAAAACACGTTTAAGTGAAACATACAGTGATTATCAGGAAATAAAAATTCCGTGTTTTTAATATACACTCAAAAAACTGTTTTAATCGCAAAAACCTAAATCTACCCCAAAATCAAGCCATGGATGGGCTGGAGGTTGACGAGCACTGGGAGTACGAGGCGGTCAACCTGTGCCTCCGGAAGGCCGGCCTCGGTATGAGTATTAAAGGGGGTTTGGATTCGCCCGACCAGTACGACGACCCCCACATATACGTGTCCAAAGTGTTTACGGACGGTATGGCCTACGCGGACGGGCGACTACAGTTGGGTGACGTTATACTCAGCGTAAACGGCTTTCCCCTCATCGACGTCATGCACTTCGAGGCCGTGGATGCCATCATAAGCGCCGGTACGGAGATTACGCTGTATGTGAAACGCAAACGCTGTACGATCTATGAGCGCATACCTACCCCTCCCGTGCCCGACGACACCTATGACGAGCCCCGGGAGTACGAGGAGGTGGAGGGCATTGAGGATCAAGTGGATAACGATCAGAGCCTGGATGGTGATGATAATGAGGGACACATCCCGGGGCTGATCAGTGTTGAGCTCAATAAGGGTGATAAGGGGTTCGGGATCTGCATTAGCGGTGGTTATGATAACCAACACATTAAGGGAGAGAACGGTATTTACGTGACTAAAGTGGTGGACAACGGTGTGGCCCACAGGAACGGGAGGATAGTGGTGGGCGACCAGTTGATGGCTATTAATGACATCGACTTAGAGAATGTCAGCTATGATGAGGCCGTGGCTGCCATGAGGTCCAGTCCCATGGTGTCGGTGCTCATAGTTCGTAGGAAATGAAGTTTTTAAAATGTTTTTAGCGACTAAATGCTCATCAGATAGCTATTTATGATACAAATATCTGTTATATTAATGTCTCTCATACGAGCGGAAAGACATGTTTTTAATGTATTATCTTATCGTTTGATTTTTATGCGGAAAAAAGTAATGAGTTTTGTATTTATTTATTGGATTAGAAGTTATCATTATTTTTTTACTTGTTAATAGTGTAATAAAGGAATTTATCTGGATTATTTGATCAATGCAATAATGTGGCTAAATGTGTTAAAATATTTTTATCATTGATTTGTGTGTTTGTTTTAATTTTGTCACTAATTATATTTATCATTGATTGAAATAAAGTTTGTATGAACCTAATTTGATGTTTATGATATTTTTTAAAATTATAAGCTAATTGTGAACCAGTAACATACGTAATTAAATTTGTGTTATAATTAAAGGGCATTTTTTATTTTATCATTTATTTCTTGTATAATACTTTTAAAACCGTATATGGAGATAGTGTACTGATTATTAATTAGTACAACTAATCACTCCATAAAATTAATTAACTATAAAATATACAGTAATATAAAATTATATTTTATATTTCAATAATTTTCAAATCTCATTTACTCAATATAGAAATATAAATTGAAGTATACTAGAAATAAAAATTGATATAAATGTTTAGTTTTGTTAATAAAATTATTTATACAATATTAGTTATCTATATAAATAATTAGATTATACAATACAATAAAAATAAATATATAATTACAGACATTGTGTTTATTATAATGTATTTCATTGAAAACACAAACTATATGTGAATTCATTGTTAAAATTAAATACAAAAATACCATTTTCAAAGATTTATTATTTTTGATATCTTAACAAAATTGTTGTTATATCTAATTATTTAATACAATATATTGTAATGGTACTAGCCTAGTAAATTAATAATAATAATTTATTTTGTAGCAAAATTTTCCCATCACATTAACGAGACACTAAAATATTAATTTAATGTTTTTAACAATTTTATTATAAATTAAATTAGTACACCATAATAATATAAATAAGGTAATAAATATTAATGGACACATTGTTTGTCATGTTATAATTAGTTTTCAATTAAATATGATAGTTATAAATATATTGTATATACAGTTATATTTATGGTTTTAAGTAAGATAATATTTAATATCTGTGAAAATACTACAACAAAAACTTATTGTATTAGACCAGGTCTAGAATATCAGTAAGAAAATGTATGAATATATTATAAAATATTATTTTAATAATAAATTATTTTTTAAATTATTAATGATATCTGGATTTATGTATCAAATATACGACCAAACAGTCAATTATTTGGAGTATGAAGTGAACACTGACTTAAAGTTTGACCAAAACTCTCGCGAATATAACGTAAACTTCTCGATAACTATTTGTGTTAACAAAGAATATTCTGTATATAAAAATAAGTCAATTCCAGAGTTCTTACAGAATATTCATTTAAATTGCTTCACGAAATCACAACAATGTTCACAACTATCTCGGGTATATTTGCGACACAAATACGATTCAAGCATTTGTTTCACATATTTAAATCATTACATTAATGAAGCAAATTTTGGAAGTAAAACAGTACCTATCATAACGTTTAGTAATATCGACAGGGCAGAAGTTGGCTTGCATTTACTTTACAGTCCCTCACATTTTATTAAAATGTCAAAACTTGATCAAAAATCCGTTATATATGTCATCGATGTTAACACTGATCTACAGCTACTGTTGCCCCGACCCTATCGGACAGACTGTTACGACTATGAGAGCAATCGTATGGCAAGTGTTGGCCACAAATCCAGAGCCGACTGTATGTTAGAAGTGATGAAACAAATTGAGCGCAAACTCGTTAATGTGATGGGAAAATTTTGCTACAAAATAAATTATTATTATTAATTTACTAGGCTAGTACCATTACAATATATTGTATTAAATAATTAGATATAACAACAATTTTGTTAATTTCACCAAATTATATTGATAATTTGTAATCCCTTGACATTGTGTTTTGTAGTATTTTCACTAATTCTAGTTATCAAAGACATTTTTATATAAACTTACCTCAAAAACTATCGCATAAGTGTCAATATAATGTACTTTATATTTAGTTGAAAACAAATTATGACAAACAATGTTTCAATTAATATTTATTAACTTATTAACATTAATATGTGGTATTATAACTTTTAATAAAAATATTTAATAACATTTCATTAATTAATATTTCAATGGTTCGTTTATGTGATAGACAAATGTTGTTACAAAATAAATTATAATTATTGATTTATTTCTACTATACCAGAATATTGTATTATATAAAATAATTTGTTTTAAAAAACTTATGATAGATGTTTTAATAGATGAAAAATATTTCTTAATTTCTTTGTTCAGTAACACTTATTTTAACATTAATATACTAATAGATGTTTATTATATTTATCCGGGTCTTTTTGTTGGCCAACAGTTCTAAGCAAAAACATTCATACAACTCATTATTATCATGATTAGATTTAGACAAATAATTAGTTCAGGAACAATATTCATGAGTGACAATAATAGGCAATTTATTTTCTTAGTAACATAATATTTATTTTACAAAATATGATATATTCACTAAATTAAATATTATTACGTGACATATACAAGAAAATAATTATAATATAATTCAAATAATAGATTGACGTTTTTATATTTATTACATTTATAAAGTTGCTTACGGTTAAGAAAATGACTATATTTTTATAAAAGACAACTAAAAAATCTTCAATACATCATTTGAAATCTTTAATATATTATATTAACTGACATAAATTCAAAAATCAAACTATAATTATATAAATTATTTTATTAACAATTAAGTTTTGGTATTGTTTGACAAGTAAGGCATACGGTATTTATCCAAATTTAAATTAATAAATGTTATTAATTAAACGGTACATTACTTTCATAAAAATAAACATAAGCTATATTATATAATATACGAAGAGATCATATGTTATTCAATTAACAACTAATAATAAACAAATAATCATTATTTTTTGGATACAAATTTAAAAATAGTTATTATTAGAAAATGAAAATACAAAATTAGTGTACTAAATGACAGCATGGACAATCCAATCCACATACATATAGTGCCCCCAATATTATAGTACATGTCGTTGTAATCCATAGCCAATTGTTCAGTGATTTGTGGCTCAAAGTAATAATTGGGTATTAAATTTATTTGTGTATAATTAAGATTACCATTAATTGTTATTAAATTAGTTTCGATCATTTGTTTTAAACACAAATTTTTATGTGCATAATATTTATAAAAATCATTGCAATTATCTTGTATTTCACTAACAATAGTCTTATTCACAGAATCCGCGTAATTCTCACAGAATTTAAACCCAGAATATTCTAAGTGCTGTTCAATACCAATCTGATACTTCATGCCCATTAGTGGCAAACAATTAAAGGTACGATTAAATTCATGTATTAAACAATTAAAATAATGTGATTCAAAAGTATAATAATGTTTATAAAATAAAAAATCAGTCAATGAATCGTCACTTTCTATGCACTGAAATGTATTTCGGTTTAACTGTCGAAATGTTTTGGATGTAAACCTGATGTTTGATTCGCTATTTTCGGTAATCATACCCATATTATCGGATTCACTGGAAATTAAGCCAAAAAGCATGAACTCCACTCCACCCATACTATAGTTAAATACAATTCTCTCCAATCGATTTGCTATTAATAGTGATTTAAATGTCGACAAAAATGTGCTAGTTACGTTTGCAAAATATAAATGCAGTATCTGCTGCGGTTGCAAAGCGCTACTATCATCAGGATCAAGCATAATTTTGGTTTCATGAGCTGGGCATGGTAGTATCAAATTATTTACAAATAAAAAGTAGCAGTCAACTAATTTATAGTCGTATATTATATCGCGATATAATGTCATGTTATTTGTGGACAATATTTTGTAATTTAGTTTTGTATAAAACTTTGTTAAGCCATCGGCTATAGAATCGGATTTTAATATTTTTGCAAATTCTAGAAAGTATTCTGGGTAATATGTTGATAAAGCTATAATATCGTTAATCGATGGAATAATAATAATTTTTACCTGGGGTATCGTAATGCTCGAAGTTGAACTAATAGTAAATCTAATGTTATTTTTGCAATATTCTTGATAAATATTTATAATTTGAAAACACATTAATATAAAACACATTATTAACAAAATTCTTTTAATATATACAACAAAACGGATTAATGTTTTAAAATGTATTTTCCATCTCTTAATCCGTTTTAATCTCCAAATAAAAACTCTAATGTTATCTATAGTTGTGGTGACAATCGTATAGACACTGAATCCCATCCACATTCCCATGAGTCCACCCATTGATGACAAATATGTAATTAAATCCATTTTTGGGCTATAGTGCCACACCATGCTAATTT